CAAATTGTATTGGTGTTTGACCGTACAAGACTTTCGTGCGGTTCGTACTCCTATTAATTATTCAGGATAGAAATAACAATTTAACTTTAGATATTGGAATTAAATTAGTCAATATTTGTATAGAGAATCTTTAGTGCACATCACAAAATAAAAAGCACAAATTCGTCAATGTTCATGAAACCAAGAATAGGGCTTTAAGTAAATGTCTTTTTTAACAAAAATATAGGCGTAATATGTCAATTATTTGTGAAAAGGACTTGAAATATACCTACTCGTAATAACGAGGAAACTTTCCGACCAAAAAGAAAGATCAAACCGTACCTAAACTTCTATAATTATACGTGATCTTATCAAAATAAATAAGTCAAAAGTCGTCTCATAAATCGAGTTTTTCGCATGTTCAAAAGGTGTGATATACGTCAATGATATCTCCGCGACGCCATAAAATTATAAATAAGATTCCCAGACGGTTTATTCTTTAAATCCACTCCGAGCCAGGTGTCGTCACGAATGGCACGAAAAGATTTCATTGTGGGATATTCTCATTTTTTGCCACATTCGGAGGCGGGTCACACTGCGCGACACGTGGTAAACGGAATGGCTGATTCCGTATGCAGAATGCCCCGGATTCTTCCCGTTGGAAATCAGTGATATGAGAGGTGGAGCGATAAGATACGAAGTCCGGCTGGCAAATTATTAGGACAGTGTGACAACTTGGAAATTATATTTTCTGCGCAGCGACAGAAGTTTGCTATTTTTACGGTCTAAGTCGCCTTGCTCCGAACGTAAGTGATCGTACGTGACAATGTAGCTAGGTGGTGTGCACTGCGCAAATGTGCTGTAGTAAAGAGATACTTATATTTTTATCATTCAATGGCAAAATACAAAATAAATACATAATATAAAGTGACGTCGATGAAATTCGAGACGATTTTTATTAATTGTCTCTTTAGCTCTTTAGTCGCTCTATCATCAACTTCAATTATATTTGATTGATAATAACAATCAATCTTGTTAACAAGATTGTAATAACTACATAAATGATGGTTCCTATTTAAAACACGTTTAATGCAAAAACGTTTGAAAATGAGTTGACCCCACCCCGCGTGTCATGTGCGAAATGTATTTCCAATTTCAGCGGCACACGGTATGTAATAGCGAGTATTTTGCGGGGTCCTTTTCTTATTTTTTACGAGACCAGTCCGTATTACGTCGACATGTGGCCAGGAGGTTATTATTTTGGGACGATGGTTTTGCTGCCCCGCGTTATTCGGTTTCGGAACGTGGCCATAGTTTGCGGCAGCTGGACAGCGTTGGAACCTAATATAGGGTTTGGAAAACGATCAGCGGCTGAAAAACAGCAAGGCCTTAAAAACGAATGAACGGTCTAACGGCCCAAAGATTGATGTTGGAATTGTTTGAATTAGATTGGGTAATTCGCGAATGTGCTAAGTATTAGGTCTAGCGTTTATGTCTGTCTCGTGTCTATTATTTATTTATTTATATTATGAAGTAACAGGGCATACAAATTTAAAGTCTCGCTCGTTTGACCGCCACAAAATTACCCCCCGTGCCGCTTACATTCCTCAGGCACTGGCTGAGTTAGGCGCTAGAACTTTAATGTTACTTTTAATAGGCTAGTGACTGTTTTTTGCTGAGCTTCTACTCAGATTAAGCCAAAAATTTATTACTTTAATATATCATGATGGATAATGATTAACAGTCATCTTTTGTGTAAGACTTACACTGTAAGTCATGGGTGCTCGTAAGACTATATTGCTCTCATGCATAATAACGGCTACCCCGTAACTTGTTTGAGAGGCATTTGACTTTGACAAACGATTTTAATATTCCTTGTAATATTTTCTAACAGTTTTCCGAGTTCTAAAAGTTTAAACTTTTTAAATAGGTAGGGAACACCTGTTTCGCATGCAACGTTACGACAGATTTTATTACAGCAGAACTCTGGGGAATAAAAATAACGTGAAGCTAAACAGAAAATGGAAGCTAAAGTTGCAGAAGGGATATAAAGTATAATACAAGGCGGGAACAGTAAACTTTTTAATATTAACAGCTCCCAAGATCCGCATTTACTATTTTTCTAAATTAATTAGCGGATTCCTTAATTTTGGAGCATTTTTTGACCACTCTTGTTATTTTAAAGTGTTAAGTCATTGTTAGCTACATAAATGGAAAATGCTCAGCTTAAAATACGAAACTGTATTCAGATCACATAAAAAGCACAAAAGCCAAAGCAACAGAATAGTATTCAAAAACAAGATGGCTAACACCGTTGCTAGGCTGCAGTCCATAGACCACGGCCTAGCACCGGTGTTACCAGATCTGTCGCCAACATTCTCCCCCCTGGTAAGAACCTAGGTTCTTACCAAAGAAACTACGGCGACAGGTCTAGTTTCACAATTTTACGCGCAGGTCGACGAAGGACCCCTGCGCTAGTCCGTACGTCAGCCACTCGCACGATCCCGTCTTTCCCAGGGAATACTTTCTCGACCCTACCACGAGGCCAAACACTACGAGGAAGATTTCCGTCAGCAATAAAAACTAAGTCCCCGATATTGAGGTTGCGGTGCTGGTTTGACGATAGGCCTCGAGGTAGTAAGTCGGGAAGGTATTCCTTCACCCAACGAGNAAACATGAAAACAAAGTTAACAAGGAAGATGCTAGGGCCATCAGCATATTAGAGACAACAACACGTAGGCTCGAAAATGGGAGGTTCGAAGTCGGTCTGCCGTGGCGCGAAGACGAACCTAATATTCCATCATCATATCATTTAGCCCTGTCTAGGTTTGAAGGCTTACGTAGGCGGTTTGCAAAAGATAAAGAGTACGCCGAATTATACAGGGTGAACATAGAAGCTTATGTTGAGAAAGGTTACGCGGAGGAATGTAATGACAGCCATGATAACTCAAGCTCGTCGTCGCGCCGCTGGTATCTGCCCCATTTTGGGGTGACTAACCCGAATAAGCCGGGAAAGCTAAGGATAGTGCACGATGCTTCGGCTACATCCTCGGGCGTCAGTCTCAACTCACTCATTCTCCCTGGGCCTGACATGTTACAATCTTTGCTAGGCATTTTGATGAGGTTTCGCGAGGGTCAAATCGCTTTAAATGGCGATATACGCGAGATGTTTCCACAAATTAAGATCAGGGAGGAGGATCGAGATTGCCAGCGGTATATTTGGCATTCTCCGGATGTACGTGTGGTCAATATTGGCCCAGGCTTCCTCGAGAAGACGGTTGGCACCAACGAAGGCTGTCCCATTGTCAGAGAGAATTTTGGTGGGACAGCCCCTCCGAGCGATAAATCTGCGGAGGGCCATAATCGCACTGTCCGCTGACAAATTCCCAACAACTTCTAAGTGTACGGCCCTTGTGACCAAGCACGTGAAGAGGGCCACATACCGTTTCTCTCGCGATCTTCTGACTGCAACGTCCACCGGGCCGAAATAGTCCAATCCGACGAATGAGAAGGGCCGGTGATGATGTTGTAGTCGTTCCATGGGCAGATCTCCAATCGGTGGAACTGTTGGCGTGGCTTTCCTCATCCGACACACTCGGCACCGCGAGGCGATAGAGCGAACTGCTGGCCGAAGGTGCAGAATGGCAAATCTTTGACGCAGTTCGTTCACCACTGTCTCGTTGTTCCCATGTAAGGCCCAAATGTGATAACGAGAGATGAAGAGTCTGATCGTGGGATGTCGGCCGTCCAGTATAATCGGCTCTTTAGCTTCAATGGCAACTTCTGGAGCGGAACTGATTCTGCCGGTCGCCCTTAACAGGCCATCTTGGCATAACTTGGGAGCCAACTTGTTTAGCCGGCTCCTCTTTGGAATGTCCTTATTTTGCATCAGGCAGTCGAGTTCTTCGGCGAAGGAGTCGCGTTGAGTCTGCTTAAGGAGATACAACTCGGCGTTCTTGACGTCACGTGCGAGTAGCGGACGCAAACCGGGACAGCCGATTGTGTCGGCTGCGCGTGTCTCGCGTTCTCTCAGGAGACGCGTGAATTGGAAAACACGTGCGGTTGTCCTTAGTAGGCGCCGCCAATCCGAAAACCGTTCTGAAGACAAAGCAACGCAATTAATAATAACAGCCTTTTCACTGGTTTTCATTTCCTTGTCTGTAGACGTGATTTGATCGGTTTCCCGAGGCCAAGCTTCTTCTACTTGATTTAAAAAAGAAGGGCCTTGCCACCATCTATCTAGAGAGACTGAATTAGAACGAGTGGCGTCGTCTGCCACATTTAGAGCTGAAGGTACCCAACGCCATTCGTCTACATGCGTCTGCTCTGCAATTTCGCCCAACCGGTGACTAACAAAGGCTTTGTATTTACGAGAGTCACTCCTCACCCAAGCAAGAACGGTCTTTGAATCACACCAAAATACCCTACGAGAAGCTTGGCCACGGTGTTCACTACATATCGTGCCAGCTAATCTCACACCAAGCAAGGCTGCCTGGAGCTCTAGTCGAGGGATGCTGGCTGACTTTAAGGGGGCTACTCTAGACTTGCTTCCGATCAGGGCGAGATGAGTGGTACCGTCGACAAATGTAAAGCGCCAGTACGCGACGCATGCATAAGCCACCTCGCTCGCATCTGTGAACACGTGAAGTTCTTGGGTTACACACTTTGCGATAAGTTTATACGAGCGAGGTATGCTTATGGGGTGAATCGACTTTATGCGACGGTACCACTCCTCCCACTGCTCTCGCTCTGAGGGAGGAAGCAGAGCGTCCCAAGAACTTACTAGCCGCCACGTTCTTTGAAACAGGATCTTACCTCGAGTCACTATGGGTTGTAAAAGTCCCAAAGGATCATAGACACGCATGAGGTCTCTAAGAACCTGACGCTTAGTAAATTTTGAAGGCAACGGAATGTCAATATCAATTTTAAAACCAAATGTGTCGTCTCGAGGATTCCAATGCATCCCCAAGACGCGCACATCTGCCTTTTTCTGTGCACCCCCATCTAAATTGAGGTCGACATCAGTNGGCCCAGGCTTCCTCGAGAAGACGGTTGGCACCAACGAAGGCTGTCCCATTGTCAGAGAGAATTTTGGTGGGACAGCCCCTCCGAGCGATAAATCTGCGGAGGGCCATAATCGCACTGTCCGCTGACAAATTCCCAACAACTTCTAAGTGTACGGCCCTTGTGACCAAGCACGTGAAGAGGGCCACATACCGTTTCTCTCGCGATCTTCTGACTGCAACGTCCACCGGACCGAAATAGTCCAATCCGACGAATGAGAAAGGCCGGTGATGATATTGTAGTCGTTCCATGGGCAGATCTCCAATCGGTGGAATTGTTGGCGTGGCTTTCCTCATTCGACACACTCGGCACTGCAAGGCGATAGAGCGAACTGCTGGCCGAAGGTGCAGAATGGCAAATCTTTGACGCAGTTCGTTCACCACTGTCTCGTTGTTCCCATGTAAGGCCCAAATGTGATAACGAGAGATGAAGAGTCTGATCGTGGGATGTCGGCCGTCCAGTATAATCGGCTCTTTAGCTTCAATGGCAACTTCTGGAGCGGAACTGATTCTGCCGGTCGCCCTTAACAGGCCATCTTGGCATAACTTGGGAGCCAACTTGTTTAGCCGGCTCCTCTTTGGAATGTCCTTATTTTGCATCAGGCAGTCGAGTTCTTCGGCGAAGGAGTCGCGTTGAGTCTGCTTAAGGAGATACAACTCGGCGTTCTTGACGTCACGTGCGAGTAGCGGACGCAAACCGGGACAGCCGATTGTGTCGGCCGCGCGTGTCTCGCGTTCTCTCAGGAGACGCGTGAATTGGAAAACACGTGCGGTTGTCCTTAGTAGGCGCCGCCAATCCGAAAACCGTTCTGAAGACAAAGCAACGCAATTAATCGTCTTCGCGCCACGGCAGACCGACTTCGAACCTCCCATTTTCGAGCCTACGTGTTGTTGACTCTAATATGCTGATGGCCCTAGCATCTTCCTTGTTAACTTTGTTTTCATGTTTGATGCCTAAAAAGTCTAGTTCATAATAATACTTAATGAGACTGTCCAGTTTGTTGTCTGACACGTGATTGAAAGAATGGGTAAAAAAAACGCTGCGCGGCACCTCCCCGAATACAACCCAACCTAAAGCGGTGCGAGTGGCCACCGGCTCATGCGCGTTGCCCACTCTATTCTCCCGGGAAATCAGCAAGGGCCAATCCGAGGTCCCTATAAGCACCTTAGGAGTCGCCATGCTAAAGATCAAGTCTTCAGATAAGTCCCGGAGATGATTGAAATTCGTGTCAGTAATCGTTACCTCCTGAGGTCGCAGCTTTAAATTAGGAATGGCACGAGCTTTATGAACCCGATACGTCTCATTCCCGTGCTTTCCGCGAATATCAAAGTCGATGAACTTGACCGGAATGTTACTCGTTGTGCCAGTGATTGTATCAATAGTCATACTTTCCTCGATCCCGGTAACACCTAGCTGCTCTGCCAACTCCGAATCAAGGAGGGTTACCGTAGACCCATCATCTAAAAGAGCGAATGAATTTATTTCGCCTTTTGGGCCAGAAAGTACCACTGGTACAACTTTTAGAAGAATACTGGTTGCACTCTCGTTTTTCGGCATGCAAGAATATGCGGCACCCGAACCTGCGTGATTCCGATCCATCGAAACGGAATTTGATGACAACTCACTGATTTTAGTCAAAACCTCCTTTGAAATATTTCTTTCTTTTTGTTTGTCAAAAGGTTTGANGAATATTAGAAGCACACTCGCTTTTTGGCATGCAAGAATATGCGGCACCCGAACCTGCGTGATTCCGATCCATAGAAACGGAATTTGATGACAACTCACTGACTTTAGTCAAAACCTCCTTTGAAATATTTCTTTCTTTTTGTTTGTCAGAAAGATTGACAGACGTTGATGTCAACGGAGTTTGACTGACGGGTGACATGACATTATTTACATTATTTACATTTTGAATGTGTGATTGCGAAAATTTACATAAATGCAGAAGTCTATGATGGAATTCTTCACATCCGTCGACTCCGCATGGCTTGGCCCTGCAGTACTTGTAATTGTGCTTGCCCCTGCGTAGACATTTTGTACAAGTTTTATTTTCGCGAACCCATGCTACCCGATCAGGCACGTTTAGGGCTACGAACTTCGAGCACGTCTTGATTCCATGGTCTCCGGCTCGAAACAGAATGTTAGCTACGTAAATGGAAAATGCTCAGCTTAAAATACGAAACTGTATTCAGATCACATAAAAAGCACAAAAAGGCAAAGCAACAGAATTATTATCCAAAAACAAGATGGCTAACACCGTTGCTAGGCTGCAGTCCATAGACCACGGCCTAGCACCGGTGTTACCAGATTGGCTCCTAAGGTGCTTATAGGGACCTCAAATCAGCAAGGGCCAATCTGAGGTCCCTATAAGCACCTTAGGAGTCGCCATGCTAAAGATCAAGTCTTCAGATAAGTCCCGAAGATGATTGAAATTCGTGTCAGAAATCGTTACCTCCTGAGGTCGCAGCTTTAAATTAGGAATGGCACGACCTTTATGGACCCGGTATGTCTCATCGCCGTGCTTGCCGCGAATATCAAAGTCGATGAATTTGACCGGAATGTTACTCGTTGTGCCAGTGATTGTATCAATAGTCATACTTTCCTCGATCCCGGTAACACCTAGCTGCTCTGCCAACTCCGAATCAAGGAGGGTTACCGTAGATCCATCATCTAAAAGAGCGAACGAATTTATTACGCCTTTTGGGCCAGAAAGTACCACTGGTACAACTTTTAGAAGAATATTGGTTGCACACTCGCTTTTCGGCATGCAAGAATATGCGGCACCCGAACCTGCGTGATTCCGATCCATAGAAACGGAATTTGATGACAACTCACTGACTTTAGTCAAAACCTCCTTTGAAATATTTCTTTCTTTTTGTTTGTCAGAAGGATTGACAGACGTTGATGTCAACGGAGTTTGACTGACGGGTGACATGACATTATTTACATTATTTACATTATGAATTTGTGATTGTGAAAATTTACTTAAATGCAGAAGTCTATGATGGAACTCTTCACATCCGTCGACTCCGCATGGCTTGGCCCTGCAGTACTTGTAATTGTGCTTGCCCCTGCGTAGACATTTTGTACAAGTTTTATTTTCGCGAACCCATGCTACCCGATCAGACACGTTTAGGGCTACGAACTTCGAGCACGTCTTGATGCCATGGTCTCCGGCAGCACAATACAAGCACTGCAAGGGTCCACCATTGCCAGGTGATGGCAAATTTGATGGTACTGCAGATGGAAACGAAACTGTGTGATGATGAGCCTGGNCTAGTTGACATGTCTTCTCTAGTACGTAGTACATTATAACTCAATGTGTGATGATGAGCCTGTGTAATGCGGAACGGATACGAGTTACTGCGCTGCGGATATCCAGTATGCTGTGGTGTCGCCGCCCTAGGCCTGTCGCCTTGATGTGGAGCGTTGAAGATGTCACACGGGCCGAAATTCGCTTGTTTATCGGCTTCCACCTCCAGGAAGCGCGCGAAGACTTCAATTTGCGGATGACCGGGCAGGCAGCGCTCCGCAGCGTAGTCGCACCACTTGCTTTGCAGTAGCGGGGTCAATTTTGACACTAGAATGTGAATAAGCTCTGGTGAATGTATGTAGGGTGAATTATTTAATAAATTGACTACACTAACGCAGTTTCTTACTTTGCTAGCAAAAATAGCCAATGCATTAGGATGAGTCCCAACTTTTGGTAGGCTTCTTATTGAATTAAGTTCACTAAGAACAATTTGTTGAGGCCGAGCAAAACGCGACTCTAAAGAAAGCATTACAGGCTCGGGGTCAGAAGCACATAGCAAGAGGGCAAGCACCGCCTCTTTGGCATCCCCGCACAAAGCATTGCGTAATCTTGCTATGTTCTCGCCTGCACTGAAATAGGCTTTGGTGTCATGGAATGACCGCTTAAATAAAAGCCAGTCCGAGACGTGGCCGCTGAACTTGGGAAGCTCAGTATTACAAGCCTTTACGTTCGGTTTAGCCAATGACACCAAAGCTTCTGCCAGTTTCGTGATATCACTTACCGGGGCCTTGCTGACGTTACCGTTATTGCCTTCCTGGGGACACGAATCAAAGCGCAGGGCCTCTTTATGCAGCTGGCGAGTGATCTCCGGTGAACGTCGTGAGGCGTCGTGCATCTGCTCCGCAACCGGTGCAGGATGCACGGAAACATCAACCTCACCGTGTCCACACGGCAAACCCTCTTCGGGCGGCTCACTAGCTGCGACTGAAGCTGCTCCTGTAAAAGTTCTCTCAACCCAGTCGGCTGTGGCTCTGCTCCTGGCACTGACTACTTCCTCTGCCTCAATAGCCGCGACAGTCGCTTCAAAAGTGGCGTCTGCGGCCTCTCGCTCAGCCGCCGCGACAGCTGCAGCAGTAGCGGCCGCGGCTGCAGCGGTAGCGGCTGCGGCTTCAGCCTCCCGCTTCGCAATTTCAGCAAGATGTTGTTTGCGAGCCGCTTCCGCGGCCTTGAGGCGGGCGACTGTTGTGGCCGATGACGCAGAGGATGAGGAGCGAGCCTGGCTTTTGGCCTCACGGGCCTGTGATCTTGTAAGCATTTTGTAGCAAAAGAATTTAGAATTTTGAAAAACTGGTTTTTAAATCAGATCCGGCTCGAAACAGAATGTTAGCTACGTAAATGGAAAATGCTCAGCTTTAAACAGGAAACTGTATTCAGATCACATAAAAAGCACAAAAGGCAAAGCAACAGAATTTTTATCCAAAAACAAGATGGCTAACACCGTTGCTAGGCTGCAGTCCATAGACCACGGCCTAGCATCGGTGTTACCAGATCTGTCGCCAACAATCATAAAGTAGAATTATGGTTTAAAACCTTTTAAGCTTGGCTAATGCATACTTAAGGCAGGCTTTCATGTGGAAAAATATTAAGATCGAGCTTTCAGCTCTCCGTACAAAATAACAGACGAAACTTAAAGGTCCTTTGACAAAGTAAAGTGTAAGCATAGATTAAAATTTGCCCCTCAGACTAAGAGAAAACTGTTTAATTTGTCATAGTTTAAGCCTGGGCAAACATAGTTTTAGACGTAAAGCAAAACGCTGGGTTTGGGGGAATGTCAGTGACTCCGGCTGGCTCGAATGTGTCCATAATTTGGATGAATTTGGGAAGCAAAGATATTGAGTAGTGAGTCAATTAATATGATAGCCAACGTGCATAGGTAGGGAGCAAATTACTGAAGGAAACTTTAATTGTTGCTACGAAATTTCACCGCAATTGATATCAAGACTTCGGTTCTTGTCGTCATTGGCTCATAATATTGCCACAACACTCATATTTATTACTAATTAAAATAACAACATTAATAGTCACTAATTGATGATTAAATAATAATCGCATTTATCTTGTGGTACTATGCCTAAAGAAGTTTAAACCTGAATAGAGCCTCGGTCCGCATTCTACTGTCTCCTAAAACTAAAAGACCCGCGCGTAGGCATATACTTAGTAGTTGAACGACTTCTTTATGAATACAATTAATTATTATTTATTATAAGTCTTAGGGCAAGGCACACAAATAAAACTGAATAAGTAAGCGAACCGCACTACACTAAGGCTGAGTTGCACCAACTTACTTTCACTGTAACTTTAACATTATCCGGTGCTTTTAGTTTGTAGTTTGACAGATTTTTGACTATTGTTAAAGTCAAGATGTTGCAAGTGTTGCAACTCAGCCTTACTACTCCAAACTGACTACAACTTAGTTTCGCATGTTCTTATGAAATTAGCTAAATAGTGAGCAAGTTTTATCTTTTTTTTTATTACTATCTAGGTATTGTATAAAGCTGAAGAGTTTGTTTATTTTCTTGAACGCGCTAATAATTATCAAACTACTGGTGTCCGATTTTTTTTGTGCTAATAGGGGCGGAGCATTAAAAAAAAGTTTGCAAAACGGGAAATGTTATTCAAACTATTTTCACGCTTACGAAGTCATGGGCATAGCTAGTTACAAAATATTTAGAATTTACCTCGTCTACAAAATTAAAAATAATAGAGCTTTGGTAAAATAAATCGTGGTTAAGTATAGCTGACAGGATCATCTCGTCAGAAAACATGATTCACGTAATGGCACATGACTTCAAAGAAACTTCATAAGCAGGAAACCATGAACTATGTAAGCATTACAGGAGAAAGGGAAATTACAATGGAGTTTTATTCTTCCCTTAGCGAGACAAGATAATGATGAAAGGTGGGGTTTAGAACGAAAGAAAGAAAAAATTTAGATATACAAGTAAAATTACTTTTCAGTACCATTTTTAGTTATATTAGGTAAAATAATTATATCGATTCAATATTTTTGTTTCTTGACTCAACCCTTTAACTGGTATAGAGAAAAATATTTTTGAAAGAAAGAATGAAACATTTATTGCCATGGACATCACAAAAGACAAAAGAGGTAAAATAAAAAAAAAAGCAAATAAGACAGAGGTGACATAAAACATACAATGAATGAGCAAGTAAACTAAGCAGCCCCCCTAGACAAAACGCACTTTTTGATCGAATCGAAAATAGAATCCGTCAAAACTCCATACAAAAAAGGGGCTTTTAGGGCCCACAGTGCCACCCTGTCGCACAGCGATGCCCATCGCAATGGGACCCCACTCAGCATATGCCGTGGCCCCCGGTGAGGGAGGCCACGACGCTGGTTTTCAGTGTGCCCCATGCCGAGTTTTTCATTAGTTTTGTACCTTAAGTTTTCTCAATAAGGTTCAAAATATGGTGGCAACAATTCTGCCACTACCAGGTAAAGGTTTAATATTATATTTATTAAAGTTGTTAATGCAAATTAAGTATGGCCCATTTTAGAAATTATTTTATTTTTAATCTTCTCTTCTGTGTGGCGGTGGAGCGAGTCGGGTCGGCGTTTTGAACCGCACGATTGATTTTATTATTGTTTGCTCTCTATGTAATTATGTATACTCTAACAGCATTTATTCAGACCTGAAAATACCCTTGGCCGACCCCACACTTTACTAATTTAACTGCAAACTTTTAGAAATAACTTCAAAGTAAACCCACGCACTTTGTTCAAAGAATAGATAGTATTTTTGTACTGGTAAGTTTTCTGTATCAATAACATAAGAGGTACATATTGATTGAAGAATAATATAGTAGGTACATGTTTTACAAGCAGCTTTCAATTATCTCTTGATAAAAAAGCTTCAAATTATATTTTGATAGAGCTTTGTCGAAATTAGGTACGTGCTAAAGTAATAATGTCATTTTAAATTACCTATCTTCGGAAGGTATTCTAGCACTTTTATAATAAGGCCATGGAAAAAGGATGTACGTGCTAAGGAAGGAACTGAATACAAAATTATGAGATTATTCTACACCGGGTAACTGCTGTATCACTGAATGGAAAAAGGTTTTATGAAAACCAATAAAGGCCAAGTTTGTCATAGAGAAATGTTAAATTAGACATCTATTGTAGCTCAAACTTAATTGATAAAGTCGAGCCTATATTGCAATCAGTGATAGAAGATGAATGAAACAAAAATAAATAACATAACTACTTGCGTCTTTTCGTAGCAAAACTTAAATAGACTGAAATAGTCTCGCAAGTACCAACGAATGTAGAAGTTATATTGGCCGGTGCTCGCGTGCGTTGGTTCGCTCCTTATTAGGTCATTTGCATACTACAACGCTACTCGGATTCTCTTTTCATATATTCTTTATACAGTTTCTCTAGTCTGATACGAGAATGGCCCATAGTTTCTAGATGCGTTGCAGGAAAGTTTTAAAACGGGCGGTTCATATGTTATTAAATTCTGTAGACATAAAAACAATACAATATTCTTATTCATTCTTGCCTCATAAAAATAGTGTTCTAAGGTGAAAAAGAAAGAAAGAAAGAATGTAAAATATTACTTATTTTATTTTGGGAAATTATTGTAATAGGTACTAGTAGATGTTAAACGTCATCAACTTATGTTTCGTAAACAATAAAGTTTTTACTCGTAGTCGTACTTTCATTCGTATTGAGATTCGTATACATTTACCAGTCTGTAAAATGTGGTCAGACAGTTAAAAACCAGTTGTAACACAAACTAAAAAATCACCCAAGCGGTAACACAGACAAAAGTTGGTGTAGCTAAACTCCCTGCACCCAGCTCACAACTTTAATGCTGAACAAACGAAACAGAGAAAATCGATTCCTTTCTCTGAATACCGATTTGAGATCAAGGTCCGGACCGCTGTTTACTCGGGTCAGGATTCAATTAATTACTCGAGCAACCGATTACTCACAACGATTGCGCCGTCCATTAATATCAATAAAGAAGAATCTGTGGGTCTACTTATTTCACTTATTACGAGTTATTCTCGATCAAGATACTTAGAGCTAGGGCACTTTCCGTCAATAAGCAACGGCAGTGTTAATTACGCGTGTCTCGCATTATTCAGAGATGTCTTTTTCACAATATACTGTCTTAATTGTCATACTAGATAAGTATTAATTTCTATGTTGAAATATCGGCGATCTCCAACAATTACGAATAAAGCTACCAAAAATTACGTTTTTTCCCAATAGACTTGGAGAATGTTGAAGTTCAAACCTAGCTTATATTTACTTTGGTTGTTAGATTATACACCCGTATTCACAAACGATGCTTGCATAAGTGAAGGAGCAAATCGATCGTACAGCGTTGAATAGAGCTCTGTGATTGGTTCACGTGTCACCCTGTGCATCCACGCGCACTGTGAGACCTCATAGTAATGTTTGTATATACGGGCATTAGTATCTAATGAAATATATTGTGTAAGACTATGAAAATCTTTGAACAGTGTCGCATTGCATTTTTGTATTTGTAACGTGCACGCGTTGGTTGTCCTTAAATAAATAAATAAATCACCCGAAATGAACGTGAAATATTTTTCTTTCGGCTTGGAACGAAGCAGCTACGCCCATTCCATTAATTGAACCCGAAATAAATAACAAATATGAATTGGATGAACATACGGTAAATGAGCCAGGAAATGAAACAATCGCATTTTTCCGAATCGATGCTATCGAATCGAATCGACTGATGTTTCTTTCATTTGCGAAGTTAATTAAATAGTTTATAAGTTAACTATTACTTTTGTTTCTTCATTTTCATAAGTGAAGATTAAAGATAAAGAGTTGGTTGAGGTGTGAGAAAACTTTTAGGTGAAAACTGACTGACTGTACTGTTTTACTTTAAAAACTGAGAAATGTGTCGTTTAAGGTTATTTCTAAATATTATTTCTTCCTTTAAATGCTTCTATTAAGTACATTACATACATATAAATAAAATCAAAATATTTCTACGGGACACCATGCTGTGGTCCCCTCGCATGGCAAAACACTGCTTTTACCACTAAGCTACAAAAACTTTAGTGTAGTCTATTTTTCGGGTAATGCTCACAACTTACTAATTGGCTATTCAAATGAAGAGGAAGCGCTACACAGCACAGCACACTAGCCACAACCTTATTAAAACAATCTTACGTAGAGACGGAACATAAACTTTAAGTTTAATTTACTTAGCCACTGCTCTTATTTACGCCAAGAGCGTGTAACAGTCTCGTTAATATGCATGAAAATCTGCAAGTGCAAATCAGCGGTGAGGGCGGGCGGAAGTGGATATCCTGGCTCCGAAAGATCCGCAAAGAATCCAACAGGAAACTCTATTAAGGACAGCAGAGACGCTTTGTCCGGAATTAAATTTAGATTGAATCTATCTGCTAAAGTGCTCCGCCGTTTAAAACTTAGCCAACTTTTTTTATTTCGTCAGCGGTAATTGATTTAGGAATG